TATACGACTCTACACTGACCATATAATACAGTTTTAAACTGCATTATGTGAAAGTGTTGAAATTGCATTATATGAATCTACACCGACCATATAATGCAGTCTCAAACTGCATTATATGGAAGTGTTGGTGGGACCCAATAGAGAAATTCAGGGTGAATGTAGAGTCTGCTGTAAGGGACTAGGAAAAAAAGTGGAACCATTTCTCTTATGGCATATAAAGGGACATGATTTTTCTTTTCTTCTTTTATAGCACGCAAAATATCAGAGGAATTTGGAAGAAAGGAAAGAGATAACGCTGCTGCCATTTCTCAAAGGATTTGTTCTAATCTCTAGATCTATCATACAGCATTCTACAATGGACGTGAACAAAAGAGGAAGTGAAGAAGGAATGTGGACCCCTGTCTAGAAGATGACCATCTTGATTTGAAGCCCATTGTAATATACAGACGATGAATAGACAGCGAACTATTTGTCAGATATGTTATCGTTACCCAACTATCAAAGCAACCCCCTCTCCCTTTTAAAGGAAACCAACACAACAAATGACGATCCTTCAAATATTCGTGGCTAGATCTTTAATTGTATTAATCCACGCTGCAAATTCTAAACGGGTTTTCCAGCAGGCTAAAGACCCTGGTTCAACTAAGTATGAAGCCATTCCAAATTAAGTAGATTGTCTGTGGGTTTTTGTGCCTTTTGCTGTCTTCAGCATTTGAAAGCAGCTTCTCATGAAAGTCGGACTGCTTAAAATTCAAGCACTTGGCAACTAAGAAACTCCAAAAAGAGGTAATGAACCATAAATTATTGCCGTTAGATATTTAATACTCAATCAGTATGTGCTCTCTCATGCATATCCCACTGGCATTGCATTCAGTCTGACAGTGTGGTATTGGTTCAATTACTTTGCTCATTTACAATAAAAGATTAATGAAAAAAAGGTATATTTTAGTTCACAGAGATTAATTGCATTCCTTCCTTTCCCCAGACTAGAAATATTCAGCCCATAATCCTGATAGCTTTTTCATCAACAAGTACATGGCAAATTAATAGACTTTTCTATTGCTGGAATCCTCAATGGCTCTGCAGTTGCAGGCATCCAGGGGGAAAAAGAGCTTGACTGAAAAGTTGGCTGTTCGAGTAAGGAGGTATTCATTTATCTTCCTCCTTTTAAAATCCATTTTGATGGCCTTTTTGAATTAGCCTACATAGAAATGCACGTATGGGGAACTATATTTAAACTGGAAGGCTCTTTCGCCGCATACGTTCACTTCTAATCAGCACAATGGATTACCTTTGGAGAAGTAATTGTACACATATACAGACACCCACACATGCCTGTTTATAGATATCACTATTTTGTAAGAAATAATAAACTCTTGTAGCCATGAACAATACGTCCAATATTTAACATAGCGAAAGAAATGATACATTCTCTATTTCCTTCTCTCTTTCACTGAGAGTATGTGGAGTTTTCTTTGCAGAAATATGTAAATTTGTAAATTACCCTCATTTTTCTTTTAAAAAAATCATAATCTGGAAATTTTGTAATTCTGGGATTCCCAAAAAGAATAGAATCTGAATGTATTTTCTTATTTTAAAACTTGAAATCTGTTATGTGTAATAATAATAATAATAATAATAATAATAATAATAATAATAATTGTGCTGGTACGGCTGTACCACAGGGCCCCCGGTGGCGCAGTGGGTTAAAGCACTGAGCTGCTGAGCTTGTTGATCAAAAGGTCGCAGGTTCAATTCCGGGGAGCGGCGTGAGCTTCCACTGTCAGCCCTAGCTTCTGCCAACCTAGCAGTTCGAAAACATGCAAATGTGAGTAGATCAATAGGTACCGCTCCGGCGGGAAGGTAACGGCGCTCCATGAAGTCATGCCAGCCACATGACCTTGGAGGTGTCTACGGACAACGCTGGCTCTTCGGCTCAGAAATGGAGATGAGCACCACAACCCAGAGTCAGACATGACTGGACTTAATGTCAGGGGACTACCTTTACCTTTTACGGCTGTACCAGGAGCTCCAACTTTATTTTCTTTCTGCTATCTGTTTGCAGTCATAGGGCAGGCCTCCTGTCCATCATAATTAAGCTTTGGTTCCACCCCT